ATACACATACACATACACATACACATACACACATATACGCCACATACACACCTATACATACACAGATGCTTTCAAACATACCTATAACATATACATTCTTCCGTACATAACATAACGTACATAGGCAAAGGCATACAGCAATTGTGCATAATGCGCATGCCCTTGGTCAATCCAACTACCTTTTCCTGTTTCGATATACCGTTTTACTAATTTCCTAATAGAGCTGAGGCTCAGCATACGTGGATAATTGTGAATGGGATGTAGGTGTACGTTAACATCGGTCAGTACGTGGTGAGCTGAGTAGAGTTCGCGGAAATGATAGACATTTGGTGGTTGTACCTGAAAAGGACTTCTGCACATCCTACCATCCTCATTATATCCAGTTTGAATAATTTTCTTTCGTTAAGTGTACTGCTGTTCATCTGCGCATGTATTATTACTATTCTCTGCATTTCGCCGAAAATGCTGCCAAAGACGAAAGCTTTGTTAAGAAACATGAAATGAACATGGAAATTTCCCTTGACCGCTATTCACAAAAGTGATTTTTAATGTTAATGCTACTTGTCAACGCTAAACAAATGTAATAAATATCAGAAATATCCGTTACTTTATTAAATCATTCCTATTAAAACTTAATCTTTTATCCTTACCAAGAAGAGTCAGCAAACACTAGTTTTTAATTTTTTGGCAAATATTGTTATAGTGATCGTATTTTCATTTTTTTGCTGAGAGGAATATTTGCCATTGCTTAAAATATCACGATGTTTTGTATATTGCTGTAGTTTTATATAACTTTCAAGATATTTTGGGATGTAGAATACATTTTGCAGTTACTGTTGAAAGCTGTGATGAGCGAAATATTAAGCGAAAATTACACGGAGAAAAGCATAAAGGGAAGCACCCACAAATGTATTCGTAAGGTTCATCCCAATATATAGTAGAAATTCAACAAATAACCTTTATTTTTTTGAACAAAATTTCACTGATTACCTGTCATGTGATTTGAATAAATTATGTCAAACCAGTATTAGGAAGTATGGGTCGTGCTGAATTATTAAATAAAATGATGAAGCTGGAAATTTATCTTGACCGCAGTGCAGAAACAATTTTTCAATGTTCCATGTCATAGCATTCATCAACCAGAGCGCAAATTTTGATGTGATCAGTAAGTCAGACCATACCTAATTAATTCATTCGTCACTGAATGCTTCAATTTTCATTTTTAGGTGATGATTAATGGTAATGATAATAACGTGATGGATGAACTTATCAAAAAAGACTTCAGTGATTCTGAATGTAGCAGTGATCAAAGGCATGAAGTGAATTTTTTCTTGCTTAATTCATTTCCATTTCTTTTGCAAGAGTCTCTCATCTTTTATTTTTTCTCCGTATTATCTCTTCTGGCGTATATTTCAATATCATTATTTCTTGGAGGAGTATGTCATACGAAACACCTATCCGAGAATGTTTCGAAAATTGCACTGTTTTTTGGCTGTTGGAAAATAGCATTCCACTGACCATTAGCTGAAGGTTTTTCATATAGAAAGATCTAAGAATCCTTATTTGAATGTTTTTGCGAAATATCGTTCAGACTGATATATCATTGCTAGTATTTTTGAAAGAATGCATTGTTGCTTTCCAAAATTGCTTTTAAGGGTACTTTGGTTAAATTCTGGCATTCTCTTAAGCTCAAAACCCACTGGACCAGGATCATCTCTCTATGAATTGTGGCTAAATATGAAAAGTAAACAGTGTTATTTCAGAGACGTGAATTGAAGAATGGTGTTTCTCGAGCCAAACACCGTCTAACAACTTTTTCGCTTCATTCGGTGATTGATGGTGAGGTACAAAGCAAGTTCAACATTACGTGCCTTCTTTGTAAACGCAGATTCGCATGCAACAGTGCCAGGTCAACGTTTCTGGTGAGTTCTTCAGAAGTAAGTTATTAACACTGTCATATGTTCATAATTTATTTGATACCATTTGAAACATTACTTTCTCTATCCAAGCGTCAAAAATGATGATAGATTCTAGGCTTATTACATTTGTGATGATTGTATGGAGAACGAAAAGGGACACGCCGAAGAGTTAGAAGCTACTTTACTGGTTAGTAGCATAAAGGTTTCTTTTTTTTTACGGCATGTGTTCAGTATACATTTTTGTAATCATAAGATTTAATCATGTAATACCGTTAACAGTATTATTTGCTTTGAAATATTCCATATAGTTGTTGAACACGACTTGCATTTGCAAATCTTTATTTCCAAAAAATAAAGCACTCTCCTGGCACTTATATAAAATAAAGGAATAAATATATGTTATGTTGTATAATTTAAATCATTTTGAGTTACACAGTTTTACATAACATTTCACTTCTCTAAACGTGATTAAATCGATTTTGTTCAGTAGATCTAGAAAATCAAGTTTTAGCTTTTTGAATTTTTTTTATGGCCCCTGATATTCCGAATATTATTGATTCATGGAAGGGATATTTGGAATATGAAGTCGTATGCGTTTTGTGTTTTGATTTTTTTCCACCAGTTTGCAGAATAATGATAAAACACGATCAGTATCGATAGGTTATACCGACGCGGATTTGAGTGCATATGATCACTGCAGATGTCAAAACTGTGTTCGACGACAGTACGTATAATTTTAAATTTCAATAATTTCTCTCCAACTATTTTATTTATTTATAAAATTTCCAATAGTTTTCTGAAAACTAAAAGACATTCTTTATAAAGTGTATTGATTTACATTTATGTTGGAAGTTTTTCGGACAAATTAATGCGGTATGGTCGAAATATTCTTATTCACTAACTTTTAACCCAGAAGTTTGTCCAGACTTATGGATGAAGAACGACGAAAAGAGATCGAAGTGCTACAAAGATGTTGGCATGATTTGCGCCAGAATATCCGACAAATGTTCCGCGATGGTTTAAATGCAAACATGACATCATCGAAAGGAAAACGATTCGATGTGGACAAAATAAAGCGAAATGTTATGATGTAAGCTAGTACTTATAAATAAAGTTATTTTATATTGAATTGCAGTAATTCGACGACTTTCTAGCCATTTTTATCAGTGTTGTCTAGTAAAGTTTTTTATTAAATGAACATGGGATGCTTATTTAATATTGCTGGCTAATACGAAAAATGGAGCTGGATTTTTCAGATTTTAGTATCATTTGTATTGCGTACTGCATATACAGACTTACTGAATAATAATTTTCACATGCATTTTCAAATAAAAGATTACTCAGATTGGCTGAAAAGGATCCTCATCAGCTGTATAAACGATTGGAGAGTATCGGACACGAATACGTTATGAGTCTGAAATCAGATGATTTGTGGCAGATACTGGTGGCCCCTCAAGTCGTACCCGCTCTTATCCAGGTTTCACTGGTTTTATGGAATCTCCACATGCAGTTGTAGTTTTGTTCTCTTTAGAAGGAATTCCAGAGTAAACTTTATAAAGCGGATCTGTTACTCCCAGGTTGCAGCTTTATGAAGCCGGCGCTAGTGAGGAACAAATGGAACTTGAACGTGCTAAACTATTTATCAAAACCTTACTTGATCGCTTTTCTTGCCAACAGGAAACTGCGAGGAATATGTCGCCGCTATTGGCTGTCTTAGTAAGTAATTTTCCTGTCTAAATATTGAGTAAATTATTTATAAAATAAAATTATTTGGAAAAATAGTTTGAAAATAGAGACGACGAGATAAATGAAAAATATATAACAATTTTAACTGGTATTCTCTGCTAGGTGTTTTTAGTCTGTGGGTACCGAGAAAAACCAGTTTTGGAACACAATTTATGAAAGCATGCTTCAAAAATGGACATTATTTACAAAAAAAGCATAATTGAAACAGAGAAGATCCTCAAATTCAAAATAAAAACCATAATTAACTGTTGCCAAAGAATTCCTCTTTTTCTGCATTGTACTAGTCAGTTATTTGAATCATTCATTCAGGACGAAGATTATCTTTCGCAATTTGGTATTAGTTGGAAAGTCGTAAATCATCACATTTTCGACCGAGTCATTTACCAAGATGATCTTTTGTTAAATTATCTGCCCAGCCTAGAAAATACTCTCAAGTAGGTTGATTTATTATGTAGTATTTTCACAGATTGCACTGGTTAGAATTTCATTGAAACTGTTTTCATCTGATTTTGCAAATATGATTTTTGGATCTGCGATCGACTCATTTGCGTGACAACCTTATAACTTCGAGCTATTTCCCTGAAGTCACTTACCAGGACATAGAATGTATATCTGGTTCATTATTTCTTCCATTGGTCAACCGCACATCGGACGTGAATGGTCTCCTGAAAGAGACTTACGAAGACTTCATACGCTGAAAGAGGGATGCTACTATTAATCCATCCTCTTCTCTGACAGCCTGTTTTTTTATTGGTTCAAACCCATCTACTTTAGCCAATAAGCATGCGTTAGTGTTTTTAGACTTGAAAGTTCGATAATCATGCATCTATGCTCCGACATGTTCCAGTCTTTTATACAACCATGTAATAAGCTGTTTAGTAGAGTTTCATGAAGTTCAAAATTAATACAATTCTGTGTTTTTAGGAGAAATAATTCGAATTTCTGTCACTTATACTAAGTTTATTCCTCTTTTAACACCGACATAATATAAACATAGCTGGGTCACAGAAGGCTCATGCACAACTGCAAGAGTACTTTTTCATGTGTTCATTTTGAGTTTATTCCTTATAATTGGTCGTCATTTTTTAACCAGTGATAAGACATGCCTTTAAAATTTTTGTAATTAAAAATGCTGCACAAAGTGGCAGAATTCGTTTAGAGGTTTGCTTAATTTTAATAGTAAGCTAAGTAGATACATTAAAGTGTAAACTGTTTGACAGGTGTAAATTGATAGTGTATGATGATGAAGATGAAGAAGATCGCCGACAACGAGCTTGCACCGAAGCTAGTCGTACAGACATTCCCCAGGGCGCGCTCGAACTTGCTCAAAGTTTTCGTGTTTTTCATAAATTAATGGTTACAAGCAGAGAAATATTTAAAAAGGCCAGTGCAAATATCGTATTGTACACCGAGCAGCAAAAAGTTATTAATCACGTAAGTTGTGCCAAAAATTCAGTCACTTCTGAAGAAATCCATAAAGTAATGCTAAGCTAAGTTAAGGACTAGGGAACTCCATCTAACTAAGAAAAAAGGAATTCCATCTAATTTTCAGTAATCGCCAGTTGAACAGTAACTCCTCTATGTTCAACTAGCGAGCACTGGAAATTGAAGTTTTCAGTTTCTTTTGTTTCAAGAAAATCAGGATTCCAATCAATCTTTCCAGATTAAGCACAAAGCGAAAGGTGAATTATTGAAAGAGGATTTAAAATTTTTCAAAAGCCAGCGGAAAATGATCCGCAGTTGTATTTTGCGAAAAGGCCAGTATTACCAGGGCCATGCTGATTTAACTGCTTTTGAAGATTTAACTGACTTAATAGATGAATGGTAAGCCTTATTTAATTTCGTCTATTTAGATGCTTTTGTTACAACATAATATGGGTTAAATTCCCATTGCTCCCATAAGGAAGATTTAGATAATTTAGTATAATAGCGGCAGCGACTATAGTGTGTTGAAGCACTGCAGTATTGAATGCACTATAAGCATGTAAAAACATTGTCAAATGTTGACCGACATAAACTGTGCCACCCAAAGCAAGAGTAACCGTAGAGCTAAACCAAAATTTTTGAGAATGTTATCATTAGTCATTTTTGTGATTTCTGGGATTAGCATATGTGGCTTGCAGTTGGGTTTGATTTTGACGCTTGCACAGTTTATTTTGCAGATCGTCTCTGTACAGATGCTCGAAAATAAGCTTTATAAGAAGGTGCTCTCTTGTAAATTGAACATATTTTTTGCTTTTTATCATATTGATCTAATTTTGTATTTCTAATCATATTAACATTGTCCAAACCATATCATTTCAGTGACAATAGCGATTCGGAAGCTGACGATGTTAATGTGTCGGAAAGTTTACATGAACTCATTGAAAAGGGACCCGCAACTTCTGTTTGCATTGGTTAGTTTTTATGAGTACACGCGTATCCCTTCAGAAAGCATTATATATGTAGTTTCTATTAAAGGATTTTTTCATAAATTTCCAGTAGTATTGAAAAACTCGACAATATGCACTCATTATCATTTCTGTGGTGACATAGTTTTAAATGATTCAGCTATATGGATTATTTTGCTTTCACTTTGCATTCTGACTGGATTGATATAATTCAAATTTTCAGATGAAAATCGCGAAGTGTTGCCTTGCATACGATGCAAGAGGTGCACTGTCCGACACTGCTCTTGTGATGAATGTCGAATTTCGCATATCATCACTTGTGGTTTATTAATTGACAGCGAAGATATAAGTAATTTAATATGGGTTCGCAATTTGTTATCAAATTCATCTCCTTTTTTGATTAAAAAATGCATTTGCAATTATTGTATGCATATACAATTTCCTTTCTAAGTGCGCTTAATTTTTACAGCCTATGAGCGATTACTGTGATAGAAGTGATGAAAGAAAATCGGATTCAAAACATTCGCAGCGAAAAATATCATCTGTTCCAAACATTAAGCGTTTGCCTAATCATAGCTTACGATTTCAGAGTGAAGAAGCGCTGTTTACCGTGCATGATCACCACAATGTATTATTTTTTGTTCTTTTTCTACACTTTTTTTCCTTGTGTTTCTTTATGTTTGGTTGTTTGAGAATTCATAGTATCGGTGGTATCTTTATTCGAGGAAATTGGCATTTAGTGACAAAAAGCATATCTGTAGGACCCATACTGTCAAGAAAAATTCTGTTTCAAAGATTTCAAGTGTCATATCCAGCGTTTGTCCTTTTTTTCAACCCATGATTGAAATAGTTTTATTAAATTGCTTGCGGTCAACACTTTGGTAATGTCTTTATTTACTGGAACAAATATTTAGAAAAAAGAAACAGCTTGGGGCGATTGGCAGGTACCATATGGTTACTCAGATGATATCGATTATCTCGGTCACTGTCTTTGTGAAAAAAAAGGCATGGGCAGCGACTTTGGTTCATTAAATAATCAGACAGGTATACAATGGAAATACTTGAAAATGAAGTCTAGTATATTGCCGATTTGCTCTTAAATTCTCGTATGGTATGTATGGGTTTTTTAATTTGTAAATTTTAAAATTGTTCAGACGGAGAAGAGGAGCACCCAACTGACACTAGCGATTCATCTGACTTAACAAATGGTGAGAAATATCAAGAAATTGTTAAGGGAGCATTCGAATTGATGACAAAAGGACAAAGGTAGGAAAAGTTTTTTTTTTTGGTTTTTTGAAGTTTATTATTTGCTTCTTCTAATTTTTGGATTTGTTTTCAGTTTCTCTTTGAAAGTGTTGAGACATCAAGAATATCTTTTTTAGAATGGGATCGTCGCCGATTTGTAAATTTGAAAGTAATGATGTACCAAGGACTTCGTCAGGTTTATTTCAAAAATAATTGTTTTTTATAGTTAAATAAGGCCACTTGTCTTTTTCCTTTCATCTCTCCTTATGTTTAGAGTTTTCTAGTTATCAGTGAGGAGAAAACAACCACAATTGGAGAAGGCGATAAACATGAAGTAAAGAGCTCGTTTTTAATGAAGAAGGCAAATCTTCGCTCAGAGGTAAAGCTTATAAGTCCAATTTATAATAGCGGTATACATTTTCATTTGAGCTTTATTGCCCGTCGAATTTGCTTGGAAAAATAAGTACGACTTATCTATATAGTGGAATAATTGTTGGTCTTTGTTTTTGTTTTTCATTACAAATTTGTTTGTCTCGACTTTGAAGGGTTTTACAATTGCATCGGTGAGTAATATTAATGTAAAGAGGTTCAAAATAAAGAAAGTGGGAAGTAATGTGGCAGGAGATAGCGATGGGACGGAATCTGATTATGAAACATCTTCGACATCATTTCCAGGATCGAATGAATGGTTAGTTTATCGTATCTTGATTTAGAAAATAGGACAGGGAAGATAAAAAGCAACAGTACTTCTATTAACAGTGTCCACATTTATATTTGTATGATTGTATTTAGGGATTCAAAAACTGCTCCATTTCGCAATGTATATTTTTTGCTTGTTTTCAGCATGGATAATTGCCATTTGTCTGGGCCAGATAGGTTGCTACTGAAAGAAATGACTCGAAAACATTACACTGTTCTATCGAAAGATAATGCCGGTAAAAATTTAAATTTTCAATACCTTGTATGAGTGTAAAATCATTTTTATTTATGAACTACCATCAAGTGCTTGTTTGACTGGATAATGTTTCCTGTACAACACAGAATTTATTTATAAAATAGTTTTTAGCCTATAGTTTATATTCATATTTTTAGTAAGTGATTTGGCACTAGAGATTTTTGGACGAAAAGCGATGGAAAAACCACAAAAGCTGCACAAAGCTGGATTAACGCCACCTGTTTCTCGATTAATCAGGAAGAGTAAACTTGTATCTGATAAAAGCGATGCGAGCAGTGGAGGCATTTCAGCAGTAAAATCCCTTTCGGGTAGCGGAATTAATATTTTTGAAAGCAGGATTTCTTCATTTCGTAATTCTAATCTTTTGATAAGTGGATGTTTGAACAAAACGAATGCTGAAAATTTTGTATATTCCACACTTTGAATGGTATATATTGTAGCTTCTGCTCGTGAGAGGTTGCTTAATGAAGTGAAAGATATGGACAAGAAGGTTCGCGAAAGAAGTTTATTGCGGTTCGTTCAATCGTACGAAGATGAACATTGGACAACAAAGTCTTCCGAGGATTATCAGGTTTCTTTTCGAAATTGTTCACGTGTGTAATCTGAAAGTTATGAATTACATTGTCAAACAGATATTTTCAACAATATTCATATTTCCAAGACGTTTCAGAAGTGCATTATCTTTTCATTTGCAGAACTGCTGATTTTTCTGAAGTTTGCTAAGCTTATTTTCGCTTTTGAATTACATTTTTCAGCATAGAGTGTTAGTTAAGGCATACTTCAGGACCGACTGTTAGAAAGTATGAGGGAGTGTTTGCCTAAGGACCGGACGAAAGAAGACGATGATACTGACCTCAGAACTAGCGTCAAAGATGAAAAGAAGTAAGATGTTGTGTAGTCATTGTTTTCTTGTCGAATATGTTTAAGAATTGCTCAAATCACAGCAAGTAAGTGTCGCAAGGCTCGACTTTACAGAATCCTAATGATGAAAAACCACTAGTTTTTCATTATTAGGGTCTGTAAAATTCTTTTGACATTTGCAGCATTGGTTAGTCCATTGTAGTAAAGACCCTTCAATTTAGGGTATTGAAAGTTTAACCATATTTGCATTAAAAAAATATTGGTGCAAGGCGACTGATAATATACGCATGTAGAAATCTCTAATCGCAAGCATATCGTTCTCATTGCTCTGAATTACTAACATATACCGTACTTAATTGTTCCCTTGTCCTTAGCCTGTTTTTTCCACTCGAGACCTGTTTCCTTCAATAGGTTTGAGCTTTTGTTTAGATAGATCGCGTGCTTTACTGCTCAGCAAAGGTGTACGTAAATATCAATGTGTATGCGGTACTTGATTAGTTACGCAATTCCTGATTACTTACTAGAATCTACTAATTATTTTGCAATAAGAAAGCAAGCAATCTAACCCTTCAAAAAAATTTGATGCATCAGTGCTTTTAAACCAGTACATCAAATGATCTCTATGAAAAATTGTGTAGTGTGGTGAGGGAAATAGAATATGAAAATGTGTAGAAAGATACTCCATTATTTATTTTAGATACTCCTTATTAATAAGGTAGTGTAAACGGTGTTGTTGGGTTTGAGCGGTTGTCATCACATTTTCGGGGTCTCCGATTATTTTCATGACTTTTATCTTTCATTTCACACTAACTAAGAATGGGTGGGTCATTTAGATTGTAGTCGTGGTATAGTTTAATGGTTTGATATCGTGAAGATTATTCTCACTTCTAATCGTTTCAGATTTTCTAAGTTATTTAGTATTGTTTCCTGGGTCTCATGAAAGCGAATTTATTCTTCAGCTGCAATTCAGCACGAGAAATTGTTAATCGAAAATCGACTGCAAAAATTTCTGACCAAGAAGAAAGAGCTGACAGAGAAATGATATACATTCCAGAAACCAGTAAGTAATTATGCGTCCATCTTTCAGTAATATGTTTGATGTAGCTGCTACTTTATATCATTGAGGTATTTGCATTTTATTTGGATTTAAACCGAATTTTTAAAGGAACGATGGTCAGTTTTGCTACGACCTTTTCTCCGAGTTCAACGGATAAGAAAGCAAAGTCATTACCGAGAAAAGTCGAACATGAAAATTTGGCACAGTTCTGGTCGAAACAAACCTTGGCTGCTGCCATCGCTAAGCAGTTCAACAACCAAAGAACTGTTTTCGATATTAACAGATCATTCAGCGTCGAAAAGGTTTTTTTTACGTGGGAATTTTTGCGCCAAAAAAGGCGGGAAATGTTGGGATTTAACGTTTCGAAAAAAGGTTTTTCCAGAGAAAAGTGGCGAAAACAGTTTCCTGTAAAAGTAACCATTTGGATGCGATGTCTAATTCGGCGAACGGTATTGATTTTAGCGTTGATTTGGGTGAATTTGATATTAATGCTTTCCCTGAAGAAGTAAGGAAAATGCATGAAGAGGGAAAGCTTAAAAAACTTCTAAAGCAAGCTATCGGACTGAAGCGAAATAAGACAGGTTTTGCTTAATATTTTTCATAGCAAAGATATTTGTCATCATTAATATTTGATATCACGATAATGAAAGTAAGGAAAATAAAAATTATTTTGAAACGAAGTAAAAGATCTTATGTTCTGTAAGGCGAAATAGAGCGTCTTGAAATGTGTGTTGAGACTTAGTACCTTGATTCCCATCACAAAGCAGTTACATCATTATCTTTTTTATTCATTATTTTGAAAGCAATAATACAGATGTGTCCGCTAAAGGTGGTTGTAAACACGATGATAGTAAGCGAGTTGAAAATGAGCTGAGAGATTCGAAAGAAGAATTATTTGGCTACCAAACAGATGATCTGACAGATGAAGATGACGAGGTTAGTTTACAAACTGTATGTTATATTTACCATTTGATCATACACTTTAATCGTGTAGGATACAATAAGGTATCAGATTTCTGGGCTCGCATCATAGGAAAATCGAAACTTATGTACAAACTTTGATTTTCTTTAGGGTACAGATGAAGAATGGACTGATTGCGAAGCGCCCAATGAGCAACATCCACATCGTCATCATTCTTGCGATAACAAGGCAAATTTTTTGCATATATGAAGAAAATTGCTTTTTAGTTTTTCTCGACGTTAGTTTTTGCTTATATAACCATAATTTGAACTTGAAGGGCATTCGATTTAAATAATTTCTTAGGAAGTTTTTTCTCTTCAACGTCTGCATTTGTATTAGCTTTAGGTACCAGTTTCAGATAAAAAATAAAAGAACAGCTTCTGGAACAGGTCGAGATAGACGACATGGACACTGTGATTGTTGTTATTGTGAGATGTTTGGACATGCTGCAACAGAGAATGATAAATCAGGCCGTACGCAGATAAGAGAAAGGCTTCGAATGAAGTTGAAACGCCGAAATGTGCAGGAGGTCATTTTTAGTTACCCAATATATTGAGCATTATATGAGAGAAGTTGAAACCATAATGTTTTTAATAAAGGTAAATTTTTGAAGAGGTTCTATTGGATGTTTTAATTTAGTTAATCTTGTTTCCATTTTGATTTTTACTTTTTATACCATAAAGCCATTAAATTCAAATTTTCACTTTGTGCAGTCATTAACAGGATTTTAGCACTCTGGAACAGGTGCAAAAAATCTGGAGGAAAAATTGACTCACGATACCGCTAATCAGGAATCTAAGAAATCGCCCGCTGTTATTCCCGACACACCAATTGAGGAAATTTTGGAATATATTAATGAAAAAGATATTGTAGCAGCACAAGCTGCGGCGAATAAAGCTGCTAAACGAGCGCGACAGAAGCTTCGAAAACAAGTTGGAGTTTTGATTTGGCCTGTCATTTTTCCCTGTGAGAAATTCTAGATCAGAAATACCACTAGAAGAGAAGATTGAGAAAGAGAAACTTGAAAAATTCTTTCCATTCTTACCTTACATTAACATATTCATTCGGCCGTTAGCCTGGTACTGCCGTTTGGGTGTTGAAGCGACGATTTTTTTAGACGTCCAAATGGCGTTTTTTTTTTAGATTTTTACGACTCCAACCTCCAATTTCTTTCAGTGAAAATAACAACCTATTCTGTCCTTTCAAGTCTGCTATGATCATAAAGATTTAGCTAAATTCATTTTTTGAAGAACTGCATTGTCTTTATATGATTGCAGAGGTAGAATGTAAAGCATTCCTCATTGTCTTTTAATTATTAATAGCAGTTTTTCATTTGCGATAGAGATTTACAATTTCTGTACTTTGACATTCAAAACTATGCAAATAATTTCAGGAAGAAAAGGAAAGACAGAACAGAGAACGAAAGCTCAAAGAAGAGCAAAAGAAAATCACTGAAGCTGAGCTTTTAAACAAGAAAAAAGAACAGCAAGCGGCGCAACAAGAGGTGAAGAAAGAAAAACAGAGCAAGCCTGAAACAAAAAAAAAGAAAGCGGTATGTTCCTATAGATTATAAACTTCAACTGCATTAGGTATTTGAGGTAGCTAAAGGAGATCGAAATTGAGTTTTTATATTTTGAATTTACATTTTCATCAAACCTCGCAGTGTGATCTCATTTTGTTTCTGCTCCAGTCGAAAATAAGTGAGGAGGTGAAGTGGACCTCGGACACTGATCACTCTTTCTTGCCACAATGTGCAACAGATTACTTGTAAGACAATTTTAGAAAGCATTCGATAAGTTATAAATTTGTCGTGAAAGAATTTTATTACATTGAATTATTGCAGGACCGAATGCGAGGAAAAAAACAAAAAAATGGTCGCGATCGAAAAAAAGAAAATGAACTGCAATTATCGGAAAGTCAAAAAGTCGAAGTTCGAAAGGAACCGGTTTTAGAGTTTGAGTATTGGAATGATCCAAAATGTAATCCGAAATTCAAGCGACCAGAATCGACAAAGGAGCAAGTCGGTACTTCCAAGGTTGGAAGAGCGAAAACACAAAATAAAGAAGAATCAAAAAAGAATGAAGGCGTCTCAAAGCGATCTGAATTGGAAGACAAAAGAGAAAATGAGTTCACGAAGAATGAAATTATGGAAACAAATTCAGTGTTAGAAAAAGATGATAACAACAGTTCTAAAAATGAAAACAGAGCAGTTGAATCTGAAACAGTATCACCAATTAACTGCGCAGCTATGCTTTCAAAAACAGAAAATCACAAAAGTGAAGGAATTATTCAGCCAACTATAAAGCCTTCACTGCACAAGGAATCGGATACACCTTCAACAGCTCTGACAGTGAATGGAACTTCTACAATTCTACCCAAGGTAGAATTCATGACTCAATCTTCAGGCGTAAGCTGCCCCATTGTAGAACATCCTCCTAAAATGTTTCCGCCTCCTAAGATAAGTCTTTCTGAGATATCAGCTAACACAAATTTATCACATATACTTCCTTTTCCTGTCTTATCAATACCCCCTCCTTCACAAACGAACATAGGCTTTGGCATTTGCCAAGGAGGAGTTGGTTATTACACACATTTTGGGGAACAGCCTCAGATTTACCCAATCAGTGGATTAAATCAGCATGTTGTATCTTCACCGGATCAAAATATTCCCGTATTGTCAGCAACTAGCGCTAACTTTGCGCAGGATTCGGTTTTACGGCCACTTCAAATTCCTCCAACATATGAAGCAAGGAGTTGTCAAATTGGAATAAATGATGTTCATATATCGGGCCAGTATTCAATTCCACCACCAGCTAGTGCACCATTAACTGATATCTCGCAAAAAACTGGACCAATCTCTTCAATTCCTATATTTGATAGTAAATCTTTTGAGACGCCCACAAGTTTTTCTTGCTTTGGTTTTCAGAAATTGCCACAACATGCGTCAGAAACGTCTTCATTATCATCACTCTCCTCATCTTTATCATCTTCGTCTTCCAAGCCATCTCCTCGTAATCTGCCACTCGATATCACCTCAAAAGGAAACACCATTACAATTCAAATGCCATCTCTTGGTGTCATGAATGCGCCTTTACAAAATAATTCGTGCAGTAATAACGGTGCAGTACAAAATTTTCTGAGTGCCGACACCGCCGCACAGAGATTTACGCTTCCCGGTTCTCCCTCTTGTCCAAAACAACGTTTACCAAATGTTGCTGTTTCTGTAAGTAATGTAATTTCGGATACTTTGTCCGTGCCTAAATTAGATTTATTGAATTTTACTTCTTTCGAGCAGGGTGTCGCTGCTACCAAAATACAGAAATCGCCACAATGCACAAATGCACAATTTCTGGTCAATCATCAAAATGGTATGAGCACTACAGGAATCAACGCTGCGGAAACGAACAAGGTAAGCTGGACCAATCTTCTCCATTTCGCTTACTCATTTGTTGAATTATTGGGAAGTATGCGTATTAGAGGTCACAAGTTGCCAGATTTTATATTTGTAGAAATATTAATACTAAAAAAGACATGTCAACATAAATCTGTGGAAAAATATCAAGTTTTAAGTGCTTGCATTTACTTGAACCATAAGATTGCAGCTTGATCTGCCTACAGTAGTTTGGCTTTGCCGTGCTCTCAGTCTTTTGGGAAAAATATTACAGTGCTGCAAACATAATTTTGATGTGATTTATATTGAAGATTGAAACTGGTGAAACTTTGCCTGGTTCCAGTCAGCTCACAGCTGCATTTCGTGCAAAAAGAAATGAAGCGTCTAAAACATTTCTTTCGTCATCGAATCCACTGGCAAACTATGATTCAGAAACTCGGAAACTTGCGGCTTTTGCAAAGGAGGATGATATTTTTCACAACCAGAATCCGATGATTTTTGAACCAGGTGACCCACGCATTGCCGTTGCCATCGCAGAAATGAAGTTTGACCCATATGAAGTATTCAAACCGCGTCCTGACAGTGAATTGGAGTTTCTTGATCCTTTTGAATTGGAAATGGAACACTTTAAGCGGTACGTTTATTAGAGGCTTTTCTATAATCGTCACAATATACAATTCAAATGAATAGAACATTCTTTGGCAATTCTACTCATGTCGTCTTTTTCGTCCTTTAGTAGTAAATGATTTGTTGCAGTGTGATGTGGGAAGAGGGACAGATAACGAAGCCTCGTATCCCATTGCGAGAGCTGCGAAAGATTGACCCCGAGAACGAACCCGGCGCCGTATTCCATTTCGCCCCTCTTGTGTGACGATGTATAGTGTCGTCGATCCTCGCATTCACCACTTTGACATGGTTTTGTTCTTAATTTTTGTCAGCAAATTTTCATGTTTGATGTTCTTTCACATTTTGTAAGAATTCTAACAAATTTTTATGTACTGTGCTACTTGGATGTTTTGATGAAGAATTTTTCAGCATATGCAACACAACACAAGAAAGAAATCTATTGATCATAAAAGCTCTTGCATGCTCCGAAGCATCTCTCGGACATAAAAAGTGCTGTAGATTTCCTCCAAATAGTAAAATTTCCTCGGCTTAAATTGGCTGAACTACATTGTACAATAACGGCACCAAAGCTATCAAATACCGGAAACCCATAATACACTTTCTTCAAGAGGCAAATTTTCGGAAATTTATGTGCCCGGCCTCCCAATCTGATTGCATTACAGTGGGAGGGGATGTCACTGTGTTATTGCCGCGATTCCCTGTTTTGCTTTTCGGTAACTAAAACATCGACTAGCACTCATGGAGAGGTGACCCTGTTTATTCTCAAAAAGAGTATGTGCGGTAAACTGAGAAATATGGAGTAAATATTTTGCTTGATAAGCATCCGCCGTCCAATACAATCAAAAATTTGTCGTATCTACCATATGATCACATCCATAATAAAATGGTGAAATACAGCACAATGTTTATGCGAGACAATACTCAAAAAATCCGAATTACAAAATCAGAACTAAACTATTGCTCAGCCGCTTGTCACAGCTACCTGAATAAATGAGGAGACAAGCATGCGTGTTCACAATTGCTTAAATAAAACCCAGTAAGGAGTGTATTCAGAGCAGTGTAGAGTTCCGAACACCTAAAACATTGTACTCACATTTCTACAAATATCCTTTTCGCAATAAAGATTACACATGCCTCGTCAACACGATTTAACCCATGTCAGTTCATTTAAACACCTACATTGGAAATTGCATACAATATTACACAGAAAAGACTGAACGCTAAGCTTAATGTCGTTTTTTACGACGATGTACAATGCATTCTACGTACTTCGCTGCATACTCATCCACCTTTCTTTGATCCAATTTTGTGCGCTGAGATAATGCCGTCACACCTTTTTTCATTATTTCTTTATATTCTTGTTTAGTAATTTGCTTCAATCTGAAAACGGATAGAAATGAAGAGAAATATAAATAAAATAAATATAACGACAAAGCATTTTAGCAGGGGTCACCTCATCTCTTGGAAATCTATTGGCGCACAGGAACCCACATACCTGTAAACTTTTTTAAGTGAAGAAGAAAGCATCCGTCGAGCTTCCTCGAACATTGCACCATTCTTGTGAAATTTTTTTATTTTGACAGCTTCGCCAGTTTCTTCGTCATCTGCACTAGCACTTTTACGTCCCGACTCGCCCACTTTTGAATCATCACATGGCACCACATTGTTTATTTCATCCTTAAACAAAAGGAAGAATGTACCAATACTAGTGAGGGTAACTAACCAGTTTCTTTAATTATAAAACTGTTAAACTGAAATGAGATGACTATGCAAATGTACACAAATATTTACACTAATACCACAATGTAAATTTATATAGGAACAATAAAAACGTACATCTACTGTAACACCAATTTTTGTGGTACTGTCCTCGACACTTGAGTCGCACAGAGGTCTTACATTACTAGCTTCAATTAATTTCCTGATTTTTTCAGCTAGCGGTTCACAAAGAGATATATTGCTGGATGTAGATTCAGACGGTTTCATGACCGGTGGGGGTGGCGGAACGCCCTCAGGCTGTTTAGAAGGCTGTTGAGACAAATGTGCGGAATCAGCAACCGTATCTACATTACGTCGTAGTGTTGTTGCCAAATTTACAAAATGTTGATTCAATTGTTGAGCTGAGGCTGCTGAAAGCTGCACTGGATTCAACATAAAAGGAGTTGTGCTTGCAGAGGATGGTTGACCCATCGGTTGAGTGATTGGTGGAGCTGCCAATGGATTGTTATTCGCAAGCAGACCTGCCGCCAGTAAACCGTTCACTAAAATGTTCGCTTTAAAGATTAATGATGATTAACTGAGTACATGAAAATCCGAAGTTCATTAGCATAAAGCCAACATATAAATGTCCTAACTTACCAGTCAATTCGCAGAATTTCATGTAAAAAAATTCCAATAAAGTTTTAAAAAAAAAACTGACTTACTTGCACCTAGATTCAGCGGTGGTAAGAAGAAATTCGGCAACAAAGATGGCTGCATTTGAACTAATGATCCTTGTCCAATAGATGTCAACTGAGGCTGGCTTAAACCTGGCACTGGTTGCTGTCCTAAGCCAGCTAAAGTTTGCTGTCTTAGACTGGTTATTTGCTGCTGTCCTAGAGTAACTATAGACTGCTGGTTCAAACCGAGAGCTTGTTGACCTAGGCCTGAACCAGCAAATGGAGCCAAACTGATCTGCGGTTGGCCAGTAACCATTCCAAATGATGGTATCGATGTCGATTTGAGCGCAAAAGACGTAGACGGAGCCGCTACAAATGTGTAGTCATTTTCTACAGTAACAATGAAATTGTAATTTTTACATTTTGCTATGAATAGTATTTATGTTATGAAATATCCAACCTATATGCATGCGCTATTCGCTAAAACTTTAAAGTTTCTTATCATAATATGACGAAAAACAAATCATACTATTGAGAGCAGATGGCCTTGAAGGTAGCGTCACTTGCGACTGTGCCGGCTGCTGGTCCGTTGAAGGTACAGGTATATTTTCTAAAGAAACTGTTGACTGTGTCAATGGCGGTCCCAAAGGAAGAGGTATTGAAGCAGTTATAATAGCATTATCATGGATTTTTGAAGTAGTAGGAGTGCCCCAACGTGATGGGCGTCTCTTCCGTTTTTCTTTCGCATCAATATGACTGCTGCCAGCCGAATACATTGATATGTTTTCATCTGAATCCTGCAATATACCCATCTAATCATAAATTTACAAACTGTTTAATATAAAACGCAAAACGCAGTGCGCAACATTAAAATAGATAACACAATATAACAGACATTACTTGAAAATGAAAAGAGTGACAAATATAAGTAACACTCCACAACTTCACTGTCTACAAAAGCAGAAACCAGATGTAAGAAATACTTTAAGATAATATTAAATGGCGATGGAAATTACAAATCACTACTCGGAAAATTTCAGCTCCCACAGCATGAACATCCGAAGTTTTTCGGAACGCAGGAAAACCGTTATAAATTTAACAAAATATGCAAATTTAGGTATAGAAATTTAACAAAAAATCAACCGACAAACTTGACTAAAAGCTTAAATTATCTTTAACAAACGTAATTCGTGTTTCCATGATTAAAACTCTATAGGAGGAAAAATCAATTGAAAATTAATAGTGCTTTAAAACTTGATTAAAACTAAACAGTAATGGAAGAGACTGAGCAACTAAAATATATTTTACTAAACTATTATCATTAACAGCTGTGAACTAATAATTAATTAGTGACATACGCATTGCAGAAGCATCAAATTCAAAGTCTCATCACCTTCTCGTGATTTTGCTCTACTTACGAAACTGAAATATAGAGTGCAAAACATTGTTCCCAAATCCTAAAACTTCTCACATTACGTTTAAAGTTTTTATAAAATAAATAAGTCCCACGAACTACAACCAAGATCATATTATCCAACCAGAAAAATGAATTATCGTCGTACCAATCTGCTTCTAAGGTATATGAAAAGGAGAAATATACGAACGCAGTGCGAGGAAATGTAGGATATAATTAGAAGAATTAAGATGACGGTTGCAGCTAAAATCAAGCAAAATTAAACAGAATTTAAGTCTAAATAAGCAAACTAACCTTTAAGCCTTCCGAAGAAACTAATTCTTTACAAGCCATGATTTTTTTTTGTCTCTGATTGATCATTTGTTCACTTTCACCGATTGTACCGTCACGTAAAATGCACTGATATCGAGCAGGTGCCAAAGTTTTTGCTTGTTCGAACATAATTGAAGTAATTAAATCTGTTTCTTCTCTTAAACTCTATATTTATAGAAAATTTGTTGAAAATGTAAATTAAAAATTGATCTACTAAAAAAGGATTTGTAAAAAAAACTTACATAGGCTTCTCATTGGATATTTTATCGTTGAGATGCTCTGTCGATTCCAGATCCCTACAAAAAGGGCAATCAAGAAGCCATATAGTAAGCTGTTTGATATAAAAACAAGTACAACCGGAACGTGCGTTAAAATTTGGAAAAAAAATGAAAGCATCCTGAAACATACAACGTTTCGACTGGTATATCTAAGTCATCGCCGCTTCTGATAGATAGCATGGGTGTATTACACGATCCCCAACGAATGTAATTTGATAGTAAATGTCTGAAAATCTACAGCTGAAGAAATGCTAATTCCAAATGCATGGATAAAGCAATAAACGATGAATCTTATCTTCTTCATTAGCAGGGATATATTCCAATAGGATATTTTTTACTAAATATTTCTCTTACACAGTTAAGAAAAAGTTCTCTAAGGCTATTACAGGTTCTTAATTTCAACAAAAACTGAAATAATTCAACCTACCGCACATTTCTTTTCCGTTTTTTCTGTTGACGAGTCAAAGGATTCAAACTTATGGCTTCAGCCAGACCTTTCTGAGCTCTTGTCACACCCTAAAAAATATGCTATGCTAATATATGCTATTGATTTTGAACCGAGGACACCCATCTGCCATAGATACAAGATCCTTAATTATCTGAACCGCACCCAACAGCGTGATGAATTGTTAAATGATGGATGAACTCCTGTCACCTATACTGTCTTCATTAAAAGGTAAATATATCATGAAAATAGAAAAAAAATTGCAATATAAATCAGCATAAATTAGAAGCTACCTTGCTTTTCCGCGTGTTCTTCCTCCGTCTGTTTTTTGCTCTAACATTTTTCTCAAAAACATTCTCCCTTCGATCACGATGTTTCATACCTTTTTTTCTTATACTTTTTCTTTTTTTTGCTTTTTTAAATTTTCTTTTCCCCCTCCTTCGATGCTTATGCCATTTCCGTTGCGTTACTTCAGTCATTCCATCAGGATTATAACCCGTATCTGAATCTGTTGCCAAAACCATATCGTCTCGATTGTTCCAATTAGCATCATCATCTGAAATCATCAATATGTCAATTGTCGGAAACCCGAAACTAAAATTAAATTATTTATATTTT